TTTGCCAGTAGGTGCCTCCATTTTGCCAAATCGAGCAGAAACTTGCGTACGCCTTGTCTGGGGTTGCCGTGAGAATGTGCGTGGCGGTACGCCAAGTTTAGTTTTTATACATCTCGACGTGAGCGTGGAAACGGGTGTGCGCAACATTTTCGTGCGTAAGCACCGTTTATACATGAGGCCCCTGGTGAGGTGTTCCGGGCATGTCCCACTGGGAGGAGGCCCCGGGGAAGACCCAGGACACGCTGGAGGGACTATGTCTCTCGGCTGGCCTGGGAACGCCTCGGGATTCCCCCAGAGGAGCTGGAGGAAGTGGCTGGGGAGAAGGAAGTCTGGGTTTCCCTGCTGAGGCTACTGCCCCCGCGACCCGACCTCGGATAAGCGGAAGTTAATGGATGGATGGATGGATGGGTTAGCGGTATACTAATATTATATAATATTATAGGCCTACTATTGCCTATTAACAAAAACCAAAGGTATGATACGCTGAAGAATATTGCAGCTGGTGTTTAAAAGGAGCTCGCCGGTTCTATTGATGATAGGACCTTTCTGAAACTATCTCGGACCATGAAATAGGAAGGCAATTCACTTATAGCTCAGTAGCGGAATCAGTATTTTTCCGCACCGCGAATATAACATTTTCCTTGGGTTTCACGTGTTTGCTGTTTGTGGGCCTATACGCCTTTTGTCGCCTATGGCTTACTCACTGGGGGCTTTGGGTGGGGATGCTGCAAAGCGCTTTGGGACAATGTAATGTTGTGATAATGCGCTATACAAAAATAAATTTGTTGTTGTTGTTGTTGTTTTTGGGCCACTTCTGATTGGTGAGCATGACTGGCACGCGAGAAGCACGGCGCTTGTGATTGGTGAGAATGACTGTCACACAGGGAGCATGGCATGAATTTGTAAAACTATTCTCACAGCAGTTTTAAACCCTGGGTCCGACGTGCTGTATAATGTATATCCTAAATCGCAATTTTTGTGACTTGCTAATCGCGTTGTTTCAAGTTGCGATTTGGATTTGAAATCGATAAATCGTCCAGCCCTAGTTAAATGTGTAATCACATGCCACTGCAGACATCAAGATGTCATAATTTTTTAAGCACTTCTTCTTATTCTTATTAATGCACAATTTGATGTGCAGTTTGTATTGGTATATAGTATTTGTAGTTTGCATTTGATTCATGTGACGTGTGCACATGTCTTTATATTGTTTGATTACAGTATTTTACTTAAAATGGTGTTGTTTGACTAAATAAATGTGACCATTGTGTCACGCCGGGTTCCCTACGATCCCCGTGTGTGCCACGCCCACCTCGTTACCTCGTGTTATTTCCTAATTGTTATCACCTGTTTCCTATTTGATTTTGACTTGTCTTGTGTATTTAGTCCACGTCTGTGTTAGTATCCCCATTCCGGTCATTGTATTGTCGCGTGTGATGTCAGTGACCGTGTTGTCCGTCCTAAATAAACCCGTCTTCTTGGATCTTGGTTTACCTGCTTGATCCTTTCCCCGCGTCCTGCCTGTCTGTCGGACAGCGCGCATGACACATTGACTTTTAAATAATATCTGCATATCACGTTGTGTTGACTTAACAGGCCTAATCCATTTCAGGGAAGTTGATATCATACAGTGTCATTTGGTTAGTACTACTACAATGGGACATGATGCAATTTCAAGTATATAATTGTGTATCTTCGATTTGATGTTACAATTTCATCTACAAATTAAGTATAATTGAAATCAGTTACTTATTTCCCATCCTTTAGACAGTTGTTGAAGGTGTTACTGTTTTGTCAGATGACTTTGGGACCAGTCAGTACCCATCATGTCAGTCCTCAACAGCACACAAAAGTTAAGGGAGTCTTTTTTTTTGGTCTTGGTCTTGGTCTCGTCTCGACTTTGTCTTGGTCTTGACTAGGTCTGTCTTGGTCTTAGTCTTGGTCTTGTCTTGGTCTCGATACCGTCTGGTCTTGGTAGTGTCTTGGTTTAGGTGGTCTTGACTACAAGTCTAACACACACACACACACACACAAGTTGGTCTTCCTATTTAAATCGGGACTGTCCATTCATTTCTATGGGAAAAACCCTAATCCCAATCACGACACCCTTAACCCCTACCCATCCCTCACCTTATCCATAAGTAACCAACCCAAATACAGGACTTGTGGCATTTTTACTTTTTTGACTGCATTCTCAGATTTTTATAAAATTGAGGTTATCCAAATGGGGACCTCAAAAGATGTCCCCAATAGTAGGGAAATTTCAGATTTTACTACACTTTGGGGACAATTTGGTCCTCAAATGTGATCTATGCAAACCCACACACACACACACACACACACACACACACACACACACACACACACACACACACACACAACACCCGCTCTCTCTTTATGTTTATTTTCATGCAGACTCTCCTGCTTATTTTGTATTGCTGTTGTGGCGCTCGGGAAAATTCCTTCTCTTACACCATGAAGGTATTCTGTTTTGGGTTTTTATTTTGTTTCGTTACCTCTGCCTCTCGGCAGCACCTGCCTGTTCTTTTCTTTTTTTTTAGGGGGGGGCGCAGGAATGTTTTATATTGGCTGGCGTATTCGGGGAGGGTTCTCTCCAGTGACATCCTCGCTTCCAAACTTCAAACACACTCTTGTGAGTGCATAGGTGGGTGCATCTGTTTTTGTCTCTTTTTTTTGTCTTGCTTTAGTTTGGCATCGTGTGCTTATTTAACGCGACATCCTGAGCATTATTACTCTGTGGCCTTCCAGGAATTTGGGATAAATTGCCATTTATACTTAATTACAACTGTGGCGATGTTGTCAATGGAAGATGAGAAATCATTGCGTTATCAGCCAGAAAAAAAAATTATGCTTACAGCAGAAACAATATAACACCACAGAAATAGTAACACGATTTACAAAATTTCCACCTTTTCTCCTTGTTGACTTAAAAATGCCCATTTCTGGAAGTCTTCAAAATACTTCTGTAACAGGTTCCTATTGCTTCTCTGTGTGACTCACCATGTCCCATTACATGGCAAATAAATAATGTAAATGTCTTATGTAACTTTTGTTTTGTCAAGATGGACTATTTCATTGTCAATTTCTGCTCTCACCTCCTGCTTAATGCACACTTCTCGCTGAATACGTTAATTTCCCTAGTAATCCCTGTAAATGGTTGATGATGCTTAGATACTATTTTAAGAGCTATTGGAGAGCGAATGTTAATTTGCTGAGCACAAATTATACATGCCGCATGCAACTGTATTAAAAGACGCACAGTGTAGGACCAAAAATTGCGAACCAGCAAGAAGCAGAATTTATTTCCACGCTGCACTATACTATTTACGAGTATAAAAGGGGAGTCAGGTGACTGGTTCAAACCATTAATCATTGCAGAATGGAATGGAAGAGCTCTGACAAGATTCACTGGACACCTTCCAGATATGGGGCCCCCTGTTCATGCAGAGAGTTTTCACAAAAACAAACCAGCGATGTCTGACTACGTTGGTGCGGAAGTGACCTCTGATGGAGTGCAAACCCTATTTACCTTCATAACAATTCGATTATATCCTCCCACACACATTTAAGTTTCAAGTTTTATTGTTATGCCTGTTCTGAGGAACACATTGAGATTCTCATGCCATGGCTGCACAGGAAGGGACAGGTGCTTGGGGGGGGGAGGATGACAACAGGACAAACAGCAGTGCAATAAAAAAAAAGAAAACAAGAGTGCAATATATGAACGAGTGAACAATAAGTAATCAATAAGATGCAGTGCTGCTAAGGATCTTAGACGTAATGGTGAGGAGTATGAGTAAATACTGTGTAAATTAAGTCGACAAATTAAGCCATGCGGTAATCTGTGATTTGTTCAGGTCACGAGAGAACTTACACAAAAATGTTCTGAGGGCAGAATGAAGAATGATTGGTTCACTGAGAAAACCAATCAGATTGTAGAAGAGGTGGGTCCAAGTAACTAGAGGAGGCAGAACCAAGACATATGTTTGGTTGGTCCCACCCCAACTAGTTGCTTGGACCCACCTCCTCTACAGTCTGATTGGTTATCTCTCTGAACCAATCATTTTTCCTTCTGGCCTCAGAACATTTCTGTGTAAGTAAAACTCTTATGAGTGAAGAAGGATGGTATTAGGATGACTGAAAGGGAGGATAGTGTCCCAGGATGTGTCAGAGTAGCATTGTGTGTTTGGTTTTTGTTCTTACAGACAGAGGCAGGTTTGTTATTTTTGGGGGCCCACTCAAAATGTCACTTCATGGCCTCCAACTTCCCCTCAGATGTTTCAAAAACTAAATAAATAGCTAGTGAGTAGAGTCAGAAGATCATAGCTAGCTAGCTGGTTAGCAATACATGCTGCTTCAGCATCTCCTAAATAAGGAATGCATTTATTTAATATCTAGTGCGGTAATTACTTGTGGCCGGTAACTGTAGAATAGCTGTTAAACTTGGCTTGCAGGCGTCGTCAAATGCATTTCATACTATTAAAGAATTTGTTTTTTTTACAAATTACATGTGAACATGTTAATATCCATGTGTGGTCTTACAGCAACTACTCTCTGTGCAATGAAAACAATATATCCAAATTTAAAGCAAGAACGATTCGTAAGGATGAACGAAAGGTAGCAAAGTGTAATCCAAGATCTAGGGTCAAAAGAGAATCAATCCATGGCAATAGTCCCAAAAACAGGTGATTTCAGAAGCCAATAGAAGTCAGTGATAAATACAGCAACTCATCAGCTCAGCAATGAGTTGGACCAAGTCTTGCTACAAAGAGGGTCTAATACGCCCCTAGCTGAATTGGAGGGTGTGCCAGAGTTGTGATATTGTGGTGAGGTAGAGCATAGTCTAGCTGGACCTGGTCTAATTGGGTGTGGTTTGACTGGGAGTGGTCTGATTGGGCATAGTTTGGTTAGGAGTGATCTGATTGGGTGTAGTTTGGTTGAGAGTGGTCTGATTGGGTGTAGTTTGGTTGAGAGTGGTCTGATTGGGTGTAGTTTGGTTGAGAGTGGTCTGGTTGTGTGTGGTTACCAATGTTGACTGGTGGTAGGCATTATAACTCGGAATGGTTTCGTAGCCATCTTTTTATGGAAGTAAATTAATGACAAAAGTCGTTGATAAAAAAAAACACGTTGAATTACACTTATCGAATAAAAACGCATTGCATTAATGACGCTTTGAATTTTTGGGGACTGTAATTTAATATCTGCATACATTTAAACATTGAACATTTCAACTGAAAACATTTCAATCGTAATTTCATTGCTTAAATATTCAGTACAAANTTAAGCAATGAAATTACGATTGAAATGTTTTCAGTTGAAATGTTCAATGTTTAAATGTATGCAGATATTAAATTACAGTCCCCAAAAATTAAAAGCGTCATTAATGCAATGCGTTTTTATTCGATAAGTGTAATTCAACGTGTTTTTTTTCATCAACGACTTTTGTCATTAATTTACTTCCATATCTTTTCCTTATATTCTCAGAAAAGTCTGACAAGTACATAATTAACTAAAGATATTTCAGTTTAACCAAATGATTAGCTACACATAAGAAAGCAGTGTGACACAAGCAGCCCATTAACTATAAATGTTTTATAATCCCAATTTTTTCAAAATTAAAGAGGGATACTTTGGCATGTATACTTTTTGTATTCAATGTTCTCCTAAAATCAATGCGATATATTTTTCCCTATTAAGATGCCAACTTTCCGAGTGCTCCAATTTAGAATTTTGTTTAATTAGATTACTTTAAACATATGTCTTACATAACATGATCAAACACACATCATAAAGCAAGATGAGAGACAGGGTTGAGAAATAAAGAAGAGGAAAGACATGTAAATATAGAAAAGCCCATAAGAGACCCTTGATGTTAAATGACTTACCTCCTGTCACTAATGTGTCACTATAATACATATGTCACAGTTGGTAATTTTAAAGGTCAGACTACTTATTTTTCAAGGGATTGAAAACCCTTTTCTTCTGACAATGGGGTAGCAACTGCATTTTCATGTTTTTTTCCTTCTCTTGTCATCTCCTGAAAGTACCAGGGGTTTTATTTAACAGAGTATTATAGAAGAGGGGCAGTTTTCTCATTGAGATGTTTCGTGGAGGGTTCATTAGTCATACGACCTGTCTGAGACTATAGCTCTTGTCTCTGCAAAGAAGGCAGTATTTCATAGAGGTGATAACCTGCTAACATAACCCTCCTTCCAGGACTCGGCCCCAAGGTTTCCATGATTAACAAGGCCTGTTTGAATGACTGCATGCTTAAACCAATGACACTTTCCTCATAACCTACATTCATTTTTTGTTATACCTTTATTAAAATGAGGTGCTCCCAAACTCTGTCCTTAGGTCCTTAGCTCAGATTGCTGAAAACTCCTTGACTGGAACATTGCCTCAAAATTCTAAGGCTGCTTGTATTACATTACATCTTCTTTATTTATTATTGCTGCTAATGCAATTTTTTTCCCCGCTAATTTCACCCAGGCTGCTATCATATTTATCCCATAACTAATAAAGTGAAGGTCATACGTGCAGCTGAATACCAAAAATATTACTTTAGTTACTTAACAATAACCTGCAACTTGGAGTAACATACCCCAAAGCCACAATGAAAGAGCATGAGATATGCATTCTTTACATTTTAAGCACCGGACTGCAGCTAAAAAAAAAAAAATCCCAAATGCATGTTACTTTTCTGCCTGTTGTGTTCTGCCTCTACAAAATTACTCCCAAGTCTACAATGTAGCTTATTAATGAGAACATCAATGCAGGAGAAACTGGCTTAAAAACGCGAAGAGAGACCTAGCAGTGATAAAACCACTCAGATAGGGGATCACTTTTGTAACGACAAGCTGAACATTAAAAAACATTTCGGAAGGTTATTGCAAGTGGATCTTCAGGGAGGGCGTGGCCTGTCTGTCCTGCCTCACAGTGTGATTTCATCGTTTCCATTACACAAACAAATGCGATAAACCAAGTGAATAAGAAAAAAATGTTTGGACTCTTTTAACTGAAATGGCGGAGGTTATTAGCTCTAGCCTGAGCTAGCTAATATATCTATATTTCATTCAGACGTATCCATGTTTGTGTATATTCGTGCTGGATGAAGTGAACACATAAAATGCATTTTTAACAAAGTAGCAGCGCAGTATTGCAGCTGACCCTGAAAGCCAAACCTTGTTTTCTAAAAAAAAAAAAAAGCCAATTATTTACCACATGGGTAAAATAACTGTGTATTCTTAGTAGTTTGTTTTGTAAAATATTTCCCTAACATTGATTCCAGATTAAGTTGTCTCACAGTCAGCAGAAACAAAAAAAATAAAAAAATAAATATATATGCAGAGACAATCTACTATGAATAATTCAAAGCCCATTTTCTTTGACCTCAAATTTAGCTCCATATTAAAGTGCATTTAGGTAGAACAATCTAACTACATCACCATCTGCTTGAATTGAACTTAATGTCTAGCAAATAGACTCAAGAAGGGAGACTTCATGCACCCTTTAAGGACGATTTCTTAGAACATAAAGCTTGATGCACACTTTTGGTTCATTGTCTATTATGACTTTTTCTTTATTCATAAACCATTCAGTTTGATTTATATCCAAATATTGGACATGGTTCGATGTAATCGT